GCATAGTGCCGATATCATGGCCATCAATGAGACGTGGCTGCGGGAGGGCGAAGAGGGGCGCGCGGCCGCGATGCCCGACTACCGGCTGCGGCACGCGCCGCGTCCGTTAGACGTGCGCTCGCGCGTCGGCGGCGTCGGCTTCTATGTGAAGCGAGTCGTCGGCGTTCGTGAGCTGCCCCGCTGGTAGAACAAATGTGGATCTCGACCTCTAGCGGCGGAAAGCAACTCGTTATCGATACCGCGTATCAATATGTCGATACATTCATAGACGCGCTTACGGTTTCTATGGGGACTTTCTCATGGAGCCAAAACTTACTTCTTCTCGGTGATTTTAATATTAATATGTTAAATATGACGCATAATACTACTATAAAGCTAAATAATTTTCTTACTTGCTTCAAATTAAAACAGCATGTAACTAAGCCAACCCACTTTACGGAATATAGCAAGACTTTAATTGACGTAATATGTACCGACATAAATGTAAACGCAGTTACTGTAGAACTTATACGTGAATTAAGTAGTCATGCTTTTATTACATGTCAAATTGATTATGAGTAAAAAAAGCCGGCACCAGTAACAATAATGAGTAGGAGAATTTCTGACATAGACGAGGGAGACTTTCATAAGGACCTTACGTCAATAGATTGGAAAGAAATTGAGAGTATCGCGGATGTAAATAATCACGTAGTGCTATTTAACACAGCCATACTTATACTATTTGAAATTCACGCGCCTCTTAGAAAAAAAAATTATTAAATATCAGCAATTCCCGTGGCTAACCTTTAATATAAAATTGATGATGAAAAAACGAGATGACGCATACATTAAAATGAGAAAAAGTAAAAACGACATACATATTAAATACTATAAAGATCTAAAAATCTGCGTCAATAAAGCAATATATAGAGAAAAACAAGCCTACTATAATTTTTATGTTAATCGTAATATAAATAATCCCATTTCAATGTGGAAACATATAAAGTCCAATGTTAAGATAAAATCAAAACACAATATCTCGATAGACTTGTTTAATGATCCAAATAAAATAAACGACTATTTTTTAAACGTGCCTGGAAATAGAAACGTATCGTTGTCATAATTAACGTACTTTGAGTTTCACTGCTGCGTTAATGACATATTTGAGATAAAGGAGGTAAATGAACTAGAGGTCTTAAAATTCATTAAAAGTTTAAAATCTAAAGCTATAGGCATTGATGGGATTTCTCTCAATATGATCCGTATGACCCTTCCGAAAACACTACCAACTATTACTGCTACGATGAACAAATCCATTAACTCTAAAACCTAACCGACATTATGGCAACATGCGTTAGTCAAACCTATACCTAAGAACTCAAATCCATTGTCTGAAAAAGACCTTCGGCCCATCAGTATTCTCCCCTGTGTCTCTAAAATTATTGAAAGAATTGTCGTAGAACAGCTAAACATGTATTTAGATAGAAAAAAAATCTACCGGAAATGCAGTCGGCATTTCGTAAGAACCATAGCACCACGACGGCCCTAGCCCAACTTACTGACAATGTACTAACCGCTCAAGATGAAGGAAAAGGCACAATACTAGTATTACTAGATTTTTCTCGTGCATTTGACTGTATAAATGTTTCCCTTCTCTTATCAAAGCTTCATTACTATGGATTCAGTAGGAGCGCAGTACAATGGTTCGATAGTTATTTTAAAAACCGACTACAAACTGTAGAACCGAGCGATGACCGAGGAACATTAATACGTTCGCAATCAAAAAAAAAATCAAAGCCGGTGCGCCCTAAGGATCGAACCTGGCTCCAATATTGTTTTCAGTTTACAGTGCCGACTTAGTAAAAAACATTAAGCACTGTAAATTTCATTTATACGCAGATAATTTGCAAGTCTACATATCATGTAATCCGCGTGATACTCAAGAAGTCGTTAATAAAATCAACGAAGACCTCGAAAGTATAGCCGCGTGGTGCGACTCAAACTGCCTTGTACTAAACGGAACTAAATCTAAACTAATTATGGGTTCTAAAAATTAAATAAAAAATTTATCAGAAAGAGGGGCATGCATCCAAATTCGAAGGGAAATCGTAGAACGTGTAAATGAGATTCGCAATCTGGGCTTACTAATGGATGACAAACTACAGTTTGAGAACCACATACTAAGTACTAGCAGAAACTGCTTTTATAGACTTAAGGTTCTTTATCAAATAAGGGAGTTTTTAAATTCGGATATTCGGGTAAAATTGTGTGACACACTTGTCCTTTCGAAATTTAATTATATGGACATTGTATATGGCCCGAGACTTTTAGCGCGGTCGCGACGTCTAGTGCAACGTGTTCAAAATGCATGTGCAAGATTTAGTTTTATAATACCGCCCCGCGCGCACGTCACCCCTTACATTAACAATGCTAAAATGTTAAAAATGGAATATCGCCGAAAACTGCACATGGCAACTCTCCTATTTGGGGTATTAAAAAATAAAACACCTCCTTATCTTGCTGACAAACTCATATGGTCACGTGATATAAAATTTACAATACGCGCACTAGAGGGAATACTCTCGTCGTGCCTCGTCACCGCACTCACGCTTTCCGAGGAAGTTTCAAATACGCTGCATCCAAGTGCTGGAACGATATACCGCCTACTTCGCGAAATCTGAAAGCAGTACACACATTTAAAAATAAATATAGAACACAATTACTGCAAAGTCAGATTAACTTTGATCAAAGTTTATAACGCTTTGCACGATTACGTACCTCATCGTCATAGATTATTAACAACGGAGCATTAAAATCGTCCTCTTGAGTGCGGCTTTTGTCTTCTTATATACTTTTATATTCTTCAATAATTACATAGTGCAGTATATAGCCCTTTATAGTATTTTAATAATCTCCCCTTTTGTAGTGTTCGTATAGACCTTCTAAGAGCATCTGAAATCAACATAAACGGGACGTGCTATGTCGAAGTGACATTAGACCTTGAACGCTACTCTCTCCCTCTCACTTAAAATAGTTACTGTCTCTTTCCCCCTTGTTGTGCATAATTTTGTCATCATAATTTTGTTTAAAACATAATAAAATGAGTATACATATAGCACTGATTTCGGTAGGTCACTGGTTAGACACACTGAAAATCAGCGCCATGGAAAAAAAATCATGGCATTATGCTGAGAGTGCTGAGAGTATTGTATAGTTTGTAATATGTAGTATATTGTAATTTGTATTGTATAGCCAATATTATTTGTAAATTATGTGTTTTTTTATTTTTTATGTTACCTGTGACGGCGTCATTTTGGAGAATAAACCTTTCTTTCTTTCTTATTACGGCAATTCAGCTTTGCGATAAACCACGATGGCAAATTATGAACAAAAAATATAAATACCTGTATTGATATCCATTATTTTTTTCACTTTCATCATCCCTTAAGTGATAATAAAGAGTGTGGTTGTCTATGACGGGAAATTACCGTTCCATCTTTTATTTTATGAGACTAACAAAGATGGCATGAACATGACACGTGGTAGACATTGATAGAAGTAATGAATGTAAGAGATACACATATTTACTTTGTTTATATTATTGAATGAATGTACAACATTATGAACTATAAGATGTGTACGGTACTTTTATAATATTTACTCTGGCAGTAAATTAAACTTGGATCCAATTTGGCTTTGTTGAAATGGCTGCACTTTCTACAAAAAGCTTAAACTCTTACTTCAAAACACATGAAAAAGACAAAGACGTCATAGTTGTTTTCCGTCATTGTCGCCACTGGCCCAACGAATCGCCATCGTAGTCGTGAGTCGTAGAATCACCGATAATCAACGAATTGATGACGAGTGGAGGTTGCTACCAAATGTAAACAAAATTTCAGAATTAGAAATAAAAACATGAATTTTGGGCAAATGTCCAAGATACTACATTCTGCAAAATATTAGCAAATTTTGCTTTAGACGTATTATGTCTATCTACAACATAGCAATGCAGATTGTGAAAGAGTTTTCAGTGAAATAATCAATATGAAAACAAAATCCAGAAATAAATTGATAACATCCACTGTCAACGGAGCTCTATTAGCAAGACAAGCGGTTAAAAATCAAGGAGGTAGTACGAAATTTCAAATGTCAAATGATATGTGTAAGAAAATGAAAAGCAAGGAAAAATATTAATTACATAGACAAACGAGTGATGTTTTCAATCAATCAGAACCTATATGGTGAATTAATTTCAGATTTTAAGTGATTTATTTAATTATTCGTAGAACTAAATACTTTACGGCAATTTCGTGGATTTTATTCATAAATACGGCAATTTTCGTTTTTAGATACGGCAACTCAATGGGTGCGTTTGGCAGAAAAAAGAGCTAGCAAGCGCTTATAAGCGCTAAAATAGTTTTCGGCCAGGACACGATTGCTACTTCAGTAGCGCTGACACAATCCGCCATTTTGCTTATTTAATTTGTTTGTTTTGAAGTAGAGTTTATAAGTTGTTTTGTGAAATATTAGTTTTAAGTAATATAATGACATGAATAAACATATACATGCTATTAAAAACTCATGATTGGTAAGTTTTTAATATGAATACTTTACAAACATATATTTATATTAGGTTAGATTCCCCGGTTAAAACTAACATCGTGTCCTGGAGGAAAATAGCTACTTACTATTTGACAGCGCTTACCGTTTACGATCGCCATTTTGCTTACAAGCGCTTGCTAGCGCTTTTTTCTGCCAGACGCACCCAATTTTTTACAGTCGCAACCATAGTGTTCTGTGGTCGCAACGCTGCATGTAACGTAAAAACTGAAACGTCACAATCATACGTCACTCTGTGTACGTCACGTTGGCGAAAATTCACTCTCATTCGCTTGGATAATATGTTCGTATGAATAATTACTTTTGTGACAACCTTTATCTCAAATAAATGAAGCTGCAAAAATAACAACTTAATGTTATAAATCATTGTCGTATTATAATATATTCTTGTGATATTCAAGATTGAAGATAGACCATACTTCAACATGACACCTGTAAGCATAAAACTCAATTAGTTTGATTGAAATAAAAGCGAAGCAATTACTTAGAACTTTAAGTATAAAAATGTGAAGTTCTAATGATTAATGTAATTAGAGTTTGTCACTACAATAGGTTTGTCTAGAAGAATTATTCATAGAATACTTTGTAATTTTTTATCACATGGCTTTAAATCTAAGTATGTATATTATATTTTATACGTGGTAGAGCCTTGCTGCAGTTATATTAGTAGTATAGTTGTAGCACGAACGGGTCGGCTCGATCGGGGAAGGACCACACTCTCACAGAATACCAGTGTCAAATAGCAGCTTAATGCTGCTGTGTTTTGTATGGTGAGTGTAGAGAATGGGAGACCATTTTTACTGGAAACATGTCATTCCATCCTCACGGGTGACAATGCATCTGAATTTTGATTCGTAATCGAGGATAGTTGTAGATGTCTATGGACCACAGTAACCACTTACCATCAGGTGGACTGTGTGCTCGTTTGCCACCCTATCCTATAAAAAAAAAAGTAATTGTTGAGTGGGCGATGCCAGAGAAAGGTTGTCGTTGGCTTGATATAATGCCATAATCCATTGTCATTTCTTCTATGGTACATTTCTCCATGAACCCTTCAATAAACAGCACTTATGCTTGTAGATAAAATCCCGCTCAAGACTTCCAAACTATCTTGGGTGGTATGAAAGCATCTCTGTCAAACGCTCCACAAGTTGATTGTAGCGAACCTCATTTTAATGTGCGTAGGCAGTATCTTGCCAATTGCTATGTAGAGTATTTCAATTATCTTTCCATCCACATTTTACTAAACCTTTAACTCGGGTTTTAAGAATATGAACTACTGGACTCATACATAATCTATTTGAAGTTCTATATAATCATCCTCTAGTTATATTATATTTTGGTGACTCAAAATTCTCTTGTGGCTCAGCAAAAATTTATTAGTATATTACACTAAAAATGTGAAGGGTAGTTGACCCCTTTTACTCACACCTCTAAGCTTTCTGATAATAGCTTTGTAGGTTGAGCTGTCTTGATACTGAAATATAAAATTATTCTAAATTTTAAAAATCCTAGTGCCACTTCAATTTTTACTGTTGAAGCTGTTCCTATTTTGGAAGCAATCTTATTTATAGATTCTTACAATATTAACAAATGTGTTGGTTTTACTGACTCTTAGTTCACTACAAAGCGTTTTGTCTAACTCATTTCGATGTAAACTAAAATTCCCAATTATTTTTAAAATAAAGGAGGCATTGTATAGATGTTCTTTTTTGAGGTATTAATTTAAAACTTGCTTGGATGCCAAGTTACAGTGGCATATGTGACAACACTATTGTTGATTCATTGGCGAAAACAGCATATATTTCTGTGATACTAATGCTGCAGTTTAAAGACAGTATACAGTTTTTAAACTTGTCTGTTAGCGCTATTTACTATTTATGCTGTCGCCGTAAATATGCTAAGGGTTGTCATGAAATTGAGAATAAAATAATTTTGGGTATTATTATACTCCTTATCATTTATTAACATTATATACATGCTTTTTTATAGAAGAGGGGGCAAATGAGCATGCGGCTCACCTGATGTTAAGTGACTACCGCCGCCCATGATCAACCGCAACATCAGGGGAATTGCATGTGCGTTGCCGGCCCTTTAGAAAGGAGTAAGCTCTTTTCTTGAAGGTCCCCAGGTAGTATTGGTCTGGAAAAATCGCCGGTGGTAAACTATTCCACAGAGAAATCGTTCGCAGAAGAAAACTCCTTGTGAAACGTAGAGTGGTGGACCGCCAAGCATCCAGATGGTGAGGATGGTATCAGGACGTTTACTGCATAGTGCGTTCACGAAATTTGGCGGCTGGGATTAATCCGAACAATTCCTCAGAGCACTCCCCATAGTATATGCGAAAGAAAATGCAAAGAGATGCAACATCTCTTCGCAGCGCCAGTGAATCGAGACGATCGGAAAGCACTCGGTTGTCGATTCGAGCTGCTCTGCGCTGAATGCGGTCAAGTGGAAGGAGCTGGCATTGAGGAGCTCCAGCCGAGAGATGGGAACAGTATTCCACGTGCGGCCGAACCTGCGCCTTGTAAAGTTGCAGGCAGTGTGCAGTATGAAATACTGTCCCGCTCTGCTGAGCACACCAAGTTTTTTGATGACCAATTTGGCCTTCTCTTCCAAGTGACCACGAAATTGCACGTCACTCGATATGTCGACGCCGAGGATTCCGATACTGGCTGAGGCAACAAGGGGAGTGCCTTGAAACTGAGGAGATATGACAAAGGGGTTCTTTTTAGCGGTTAACGCGCAAAATTGTGTCTTCGGGGGGTTAAACTGGACTAGATTTAGTCATCCGAGACTGTTCAGCAAAGACTTGACTTCAGACACTAGTTTGTCCCGGTACTCGGAGACTTTTTCTCGAGAAATATTGGCACGGCCGGTATACAGAGCATCACCAGTGCTGTCATCTGCATAGCAATGAACGTTACGCGTTTGCAACATATCATTGATATGCAGAAGAAACAGCGTTGGCGATAGCACGCAGCCTTATGGAACACCAGCATTAATAGGTATGTAATCGGAGCTTGCACTGTCTACAACGACCTTAATGCTCCGATCTGCAAGAAAGCCGGTGATCCAATTGCACAATTTCTCTGGAAGCCCATAGGAAGGGAGCTTTGAAAGAAGCGCTTTGTGCCAAACCCGATTGAAGGCCTTCAAAATGTCCAAACTAACAGCCAATGCCTCCCCCTTGGACTCTACTGCCGCAGCCCATCTATGAGTTAGATAGACCAGAAGATCACGAGCTGATCGACCACAGCGAAAACCGTATTGGCGATCACTAATCAGCTGGTGATGCTCAAGGTACCTCATGAGCTGGCAGTTTACAATGGACTCCATTGTTTTAGAAAACAAGGAGGTGATGGCGATAGGCCGCTAGTTGGACGGGTCTGAGTGGTTGCCTTTTTTAGGGATCGGGTGGATGAAAGCCGTCTTCCATGATTTTGAGACTACGTCTTGAGAGTAGGAGTACCGGAAAAGACGCGTTAAAACCGGTGTCAACTCTGGAGCACACGTCCTCAGCACAATTGGGGGTATTCCGTGAGGCCCACTCGACTTGTGGTTGTCCAGGGAGAGGAGTGCTTTGCGAACCGAGCACTGTGTGAACTGCACTTCCGGCATGGAGCATTTACACCGTGGGATGGTCGGCGGCGTACTCCCCCCGTCATCGAGAGTCGAGTTGGACGCAAAGAAAGAGCCTAGCAGATCGGCTTTCTCCTTTGCGGCATGGTCCAGTGAGTCGTCTCCCTGTGCAGAGATGGAAGAGATGGCTGACGGAAATTCCCCTGGACAGCTTTGGTGAGAGACCTATGCGTGGTATGTATCTATGCGTGGTAGAGCCATGCTGCAGTTATATTAGAAGTATAGTTGTGGCACGAATGGGTCGGCTCGACTGGGGAGGGACTCTCACAGAATACCAGCGTGAAATAGTAGCTTAATGCTGCTGTATTTCGTATGGTGAGTGTAGAGAACCGGAGACCCTTTCTACTGGAAAACGAGGCATTCCATCTTAGTCCTCACGGGTGACAATGCATCTGCATTTTGATTCGTAATCGAGGATAGATGTGGATGTCTATGGGCCACAGCAACCACTTACCATCAGGTGGACTGTGTGCTCATTTGTCACCCTATCCTATAAAAAAAAGACCAGAATGCACGGATTCCAGAAGGAAGGCGAACTAGTTTCTCGCCAATACTGCCAATGTGCTCTGATTTTGCCTTGGCAATGACTCTTTTGAAGGAGTTGGAGTTATATTTCATTTTTGGAGCGCTGGTGTTTACATCCCGGGACATTGATGCATCAGCCCAGGCTTGGTAGCACTTGTGCTTATAGCATGATGCTATTTTACAGGAGCGACCAAACCATGGCTGAGATTTTCCTCCGATGGGCAACACAGAGGAAGGAATGAATGCTTATATAAAGACATTAATGGGATAAGATCATTTTTCATTACTACAAGAAAAAATACCTTTAAAAGTGTTTCACTGCTAAATATTTTCATGACACTTTCTTTTTATAAATGTTTTCAGTTTTCCATTTTTAATTTTAATCATGTAGTTTACTTGTATTTGGGTAAACAATTTATAAAAAAAAAATATGAAGGAAACTAGCCGTCATTTGATTTTAATTTTACTTCATAACTCATATAACTATAACAATAATTCACCATTAGAGATATTGCGTTTTAGAAAAGGGAACTTAATATTAGTTTAAAATATACTATGAAACACTGTCATCAAGTACTACAGAGTATTGTACGCATGTATTAAATGGCAGATTTAGTGAAGTGTGTTGGAACATGGTTTAGATAGTTCATTTTGTGAGTGCAGTGTAGATGAAGCTATAGTCGATCATAATTTTTTAATTGCCTTCACCTCTTATATTCACTGTATAATTTTCTTTCTGGTACAACCCCATCTTATTAATCTAGTCTTTCTTTCTTAAAAATCTACAATCTATTTGATTTCACATCTTTTAATAACATTAGGCTATAATTTTTTTGCCACTTACATCAATTCCATCATTTTTGAAGTAATTTTGTAAAACTATGTATATAAATTCATTCAAAAATTACTTGTTACCTTGTTACATTGATTATAATAAATCCATGTATGTCACTTCATAGCAAAATTTGGTCTGATACACTGTGTGACTGTGATGAAATTCTTGTCAGAAACAAACAATAAGCAAGTGGTAAAATTAAAAATTTTGTGCAACCGACTTCAATAGGATTGAATCACTGTATTCGAAACATATAAATATGCATTATTAAGGATAACTCAAAAACTACTGGTCACACTACCTTATTTATATATCTGTGCCCCTGAGTTGTCTCCTTTGTTGACGCGCTTGTTCCGCCTCCCATTCAGGACTGGAATAGTGCCCAAATCTTGGAAGTTGGCCAATGTGCATCCTGTGCCTAAAAAAGGTAGCCGTGCCGACCCTGCCAACTATCGATCAATTTTAATTACCTGCTTTATTACTCTGCAAGATTATGGAGCGTATATTGAACTTCCGCTTAATGGCATACCTAGAACAAAATGATCTCCTAGTGACCGGTAATACGGATTTCGCCGAAATCGGTCAGCTGGGGACCTTCTAGCATATGCCACACACATATGGGGCGAGGCACTTGAGAACAGTGGGGACGCACTTGCTGTTTTCCTTGATGTCTCAAAGGCTTTTGGTAGAGTTTGGCACACTAGCCTTTTGGGTAAGCTTCTTGCGTACGGCTTATCCCCTGGACTGATTGAATGGATAAATGATTTCCTGAGTGAATGGTCTCTTCGGGTCGTCGTCGATAGCTGGTCATCCGATCCGGTGGCGACTGACGCCGGTGTTCCTCAGGGGTTTGTTCCCTCCGTAACTCTCTTCCTACTGCATATTAACGCTCTGCTTATGCCCGATATATAGGTATGCAGATGATAGCACAATTGTGGAGAGACCAAGTGCTCGCGCCAGTCGGGATCAAATCCAGTCCGAAAGAGAGACTATGATTGAGCGTTTAAATCTTACACTACAGGCAATCTCTGAATGGGGCGATGCCAGTATCGTGAGATTCAACGTCTCCATCACACAAGCATGTCTTTTCACCGCTAAAAGGAGCCCACTCACCCTGGCTCCTACTTTCTGGAATTATCCTTGGAGTACACTGACCGCCTTCAGTTGTTAGGGGTTAGATCTTCTCTGAACCTCAACTATGGGCGGTTCATTGAGTCCAGAGCCAAAGCAGCCGCAAGGAAACTTGGTGTTCTTGCAAGGGTTCGGCGGTACTTCACGCCGAGACAGCTCCTTACCTAGTGCAAATCCGGTCGTACATGGAGTACTACTGTCACATATGGGCTGGTGTTGCAAAATGCCACCTGGCAGTATTGGACTCAGTGCAGAGACGTGCTAAGAGACTCATTGGTGACCTTGATTTGGTTGAAACCAACCTTGTCAGCCTCGAGCACAAGCGCAGAGTAGCCAGCCTATCAGTATTTAATTTCGGAGAGTGTGCTCAGGAATTGCACGCTTTAATTCCTCCCTCTCCTTTCCACCATCGGACGACCAGGCGGTCGGCGGGTCTTCATCCCTTTGTTGCCGATATTCCACGCGATAGAACCAAACGGTTTACTTCGACATTTTTAATGTATACAGCAAAGGAGTGGAATAAAAATTATCTTAAAAAAATTATCTTAGACTGGCACCAGCTTTCAAATAAAAAAATATCATCAAAATTGTTTCACCCAGAAAAAAGTTCTGATGTAAGCACACATAAAAAAAAACACTAAAATTGAATACCTCCTCCTTTTTGAAGGTGGTTAAAAACACTACAGATGGTATAAATTTATCATTTAAAGAGCTCTGATTAACCCTCAATAGTCACAAAAATAGATATCTTAGGTGAGCTTCAATAAGTAATCTGTCAGAAAAATTCTTTAAAAGAAATTAACCAATCTTAAATTATCATTACATTCAACCCTTTTTTGTTTTTTTTTAATTATGTGCGAGCAGCTATGCAGGTCTAGGGAAGAGACCAGTATTACTGCAACCTAGAAGATCTATTGTGATCGCTGCTATGGTACATTCAACCCTTGCAAGTAAGCATGTCCCTTTTATGTGGTAGAACAACTCTGCAGCTATATTATGATTGTAGCACGCATAGGTCAGCTCAACCAGGGTAGCAGTTCCACACTCACAGAATACCAGTTTAATATGATGAGTGTAATTTGTTTCATATGATGAGTGTAGAGAACTTGAGACTCCTTTTACTGGAAACAAGGTATTCCGTCTCAGCCTTTGGAGGTGATTCCTAATTGTGGATAAATGTAGATGTCTATAGGCCACAGCATTCACTTACCGTCAGTTGGCCTGTGTGCTCATTTGTCACCCGTATTCTATAAAAAAAAACCTAGCACTGTGATGTTACTCTATAATACTGAGAAGCAGGAAAAGGGTCACATTGCAGCGAGGTGCCTAGTTGATTTCCAATAACTTTCACGCCTGTCACCTAGAATGGTAAGCAGAGACGGGATTTCCTGTTTGTTAGTCTCGCTAAAACTAAAGAAACAGCTCGACTAATTTTGATGATTTTTTTTGTGTTTGTTTGAGTGGGCCCATGGAAGGTTTAGATTTACAATTGGACCTGGTAGCACTGTTGTCAAGATGCAAAAATCGACTGGGTGTAGTCGGGCGGAACACTAGTATTTATGTATTACAATATTTGGTTTTACTAAATGGTTGTCTAATTAAATGTCATAAACCTCTGGCTTATTAAGATGAAAAGGAATGAAGAGGATTCTATTCTGGAGTGGTTACATGTTAATTTATGAAAATCATTGTAATAATTTTACTCTATAATGAATGTATACGTAATTTTATCTATTACACTTAATTTGTTATAAAATATTTCTTCATGTTTCATCCAAAAATTGGTCAGTCTCTACTTTGCCTGATGTTGAACACCGTGTTCAGATAATAGTATGATGACTTTATAACACAGTGGCTAAGCATATGCTTATAAGTAATCTATGATCTGCACCACAGCTATATTAGCTATGGTTCTGCAGGCCATAGATTGTATCCAGCACAGAGCAATGTTACATGCTAGTGCATGACCTGGGTATGACCGTAATAAGTGTTCCAGGTTTGAATATTTATCCATGTGCCATTTATTTAAAACACCTCCACTACTTAGGAGAAATTTCTAGTGAGAGAGTAACATTTTTCTAAAATAATCAATTCAAGGGGCTTATGTAAATACAACAACATCCATATTTTTTTAAATATTAAGTAAGATCTATAGTTCAATACGATAAACACCAAAAATATAAAAGAAATGGACTTTAATGGGCTGATAAGGGTGATAAAGAAGTTGAAAATTGTCATATCTTAGTAACCGTTTAGTACAATTTAACCGAAAGAATATATTTTTGTGAGTATGGATTTTGAATTATCATATTTATTTTTTTAATTACAGCCACAAAAGGGAAAGGCACCGACAAGAGGTGCCAAGCAAATATTGTCGGAAAATGGAGCCACTGTGATTTTCTACCGAAACATGTCACTGGGTGCTAGCGGACTATACAATGTCATTACTTTTATTTTCTTCTATCATAGTATGTCATATCTTATGATGGTAAGTGATTAAAATCTTTACTTCGCTTTATTATAATCCCTTGTTTAATAATTTGTGCAATATGTACATTTCACAAAAAATATTTAAATTATAATTTCCATTATTATAATTTTAACATGAGTTAAGTTACAGCTTACATAACCCCTTCAGAAATGAGAGCGCATAGGCCTTTCATTTCTGAAAGAGTTTTAGGCCAAGGAAATGTTTTTTGTGCTGCTCCAAATGCGGGTACCGGTCTTCAGATCAGTGGCGAAGCTAGAGCTCCAAGCTAGGGCAAGCCCAAGATATAAATTGATAAAAATATAGATTGTTGTTTTTAGCAGTTTTATAAAAATACACCAATCTTGATCTGTCTCCACGCTTCAGTTTCATATTCAGTGCTGTCAAGGACGTGTTTAACAAAGCACACAGAAGGCATACCACTGCCAGATAGATTGTATTACATATCAGCAATTGCATAGCTTCGGTGGCTTTGAAGAAAGCCGTTTGGGTTTGTTTAAGCGAAAGAAAAAAAATATTTACATCCAATACAATACATGAACAAAAGGAAAACACGAACAAAGTACAAACAAACTATGTACAAAATTAAAAAAAAAAATTATTTACATTCTAATAGATAAGATATAAGATAAGATAAGTGAAATCGTCTCGCTTTCTTATGGAAAGATTTAATTACGTCCACGTAAAATATTGGTGAACCTTTTAATTGTACCAATAACTGTTTTTAATTGCGATAATTGATAATTCTGAAATACACTCTTAACCTTGTGTATTATCTCAACAAAGTTTAAAGATTTCCTCTCCGATTATCATTTTAACACACTTCAATTCATCACAAGGAACACTATTATACTCCATTTTCATTAAAAATCTTTAAAAAAGCATAAATTTTGAACTCGTAATATTAAATCGCTTAAGATAAGCACACAGAGTAAGTAAACATTGAAACGTGAAATGAACTTGCAAACTTATTGCCCGCGCGCCTCCGCTTTTAACAAATTTATTCCCAAAAGCCTGGCTTTAAATCTCTATACTAATTGCTATATATACAATCGTAGTTATATTTCGTTATAGAATATTTTGCCATAGGTTAGAAAGAGAGCGATCGTCTTCTCGAAAGCCCCGTAAAAAGCCCACGCGAGCGAGGGAGACAACTATTAGCTCTATTAAAACTCATTTTTTATGACAGCAGTATTATCGCTAAGGCAATACGAGGTCATCGGTCGACATGTGTCGAACAGTGGAGTGCGCGAGAAATTTGAAATAGCTTGAAACATTTTACGAGTTATTTTATTAGTTGACATTATTGATTGATTCAGGTTTAATAAGGCAAGCCCGGCTTTTCGGCTTTAATGGAAGCTTCGCCACTGCTTGTTTCCTCTCGATGTTTTGGTAAATCAGTACCTGAAAGTGCAATTGACAATTAAATTGGTCCTCGCGGTGTTCAAACCTGGCTTACTCGCGTATTGTGAAATTTACAGTGGGTGCTACCAGCGCTATATCCCGCGCTAGCTCCGCGTATTGTGAAATTTACAGTGAGTGCTACCAGCGCTATATCCCGCGTTAGCCCATGATCCACCACAGCTCTATAAGTCATTTGTATTTAAATAAAATATCGAATAACTTAATATACCTAATACATTTTTATTTTGATAGGTTCTATACCTTCGACTATTGAACGAATTAAGTACTAGTTTTATTAGTATGATAAATATTGAATGAGAAACATATATTTTAATTGGTGAATTTATGTGACTTAATGTACAAGTGAATAATAGAAACATATAATGTAAACTTTATCGAAAATACGATAGAACATAATAATAAGTAAAACAGCGAAAGTATTTTAAGGTGCAGCAGGGGTGTCTCTTGCGACAACTCCCAAGTTGCAGACTTATTTAACCACTCGTGATCTATTGCTGCGGCTACACTAAGTTAATTACCGCGTTGATGGACGTTGAATGTAGGTGTGGCCACGAATTAACGCAATAATTTGGCAACGGCATTAACAATGCCGTTTCCCGTTTGCCGATAACTCGAGTGGCGGTACATCAAAGGATTAACGCGCGAATTATGGCGTTGAAGCGGCCACACTACGTTTGTCTCTTTGTCACAGAGTACTTTTATATATATAGGAATAGAGGCTTTACTCAACGGGTTCAGAAGGAAAGCGATTGGTGACGCCATCTGTAACTACAAACCTACAACTCTCCTGCTATATATATATATAATTATGTAGATAGCTATATGTCTATCTAAATATACGTATAGCTATTTGCATATATATAGATGTATAGACTAACGTATATGAATAAATTAAGGGATTACTTAAGGCTGCAGAAAATAAAACAAATATTATTATAATCTTTTTATTTTGTATTGGCATAATAGTTGTCATAGTAGGTCATAATATTATAGTTATATTTTCTAATACATAACTAGTATTTGATATTATTCCATGCCTTAAGCTCAAAGCGCGTGGGTATGTTCTACTAGGGTCTAAAATCAAGAATTCAACGTTTTGTTGCATGAAATCGTATCTAACAAGCATATTGAACATTTAAATGGTATAGAAAAGCACATTGTTAGAAAGATTAATTATTGCTGAACTTATATTTTTTTAAATCATTTAATTGCTATTTTTATATTTAAAAAGTGGTTTTAGTGAATTATGGTGTCGATTTATCAAGTCAGCAAGACATGGTAACTTTTGAAAATATCAATTTGGATAATTGATAATTTCAAAGGTTACAAAATTACTTAATCTATTTTCTTATCTCTTCATCTATCTTGTGGGAAGCCATGGAATGTCATTTACAATCCATGGCTTCCCACAAGAAGATGAATTGCTAAATTTTGTTTTGTTGAAAAAGCGGTTTAATTTTGTATTCTTTAGTTATAATTATTTTATCCCGTATCGTAGAGGCAGTCAATTACTTGTAGGGCATACAAATACTTTTTCTGTGCGGGATTCGAACCGGAGGCCCTCAGCGCTATAGCGCTTATCAGCGAAGTAGCTTAGCAATGAGCTCATGCGCCATGGAGTCGTCAATGCCTTCATGTCTGAGTACAAATACCTAAAAATTAAAGTAATGTTAATTAAAGTCGATTTCTGATCGTTTTGAAATAATTCTGTTAAGTGTTTTCAAAGGAAAATTAGAAGTAATAGTAATAAGGTTATTTGCGAAATGACAATTTTTTAAAGTATTTTAAAAAAAGTGTATATATAATACTTTAAAAAATGTACGTTATAATATGGACGCTTAAGGCATGCTCATTTGGATTTAACAAAAGTTATTAATAATGCATTGTTGGCTCAATGCAATAATAACATGTCACATTTTTCTCTTAAAACATTTTTTTAAATACTTTTTTGCTTTGCACTGCATTACATCCTCGTCACTGTCAATATCTTTTTTTGCCGGATAATATTTTATTTATATTTTTACAATACGTAAACATAAAAAATCGACATACAAAATTAATTAAATATTCTATTAATTTATCTTTATGTACAGAGCATGTTAAAAATGTATTCTCTGAGGGCTTTTTGATTTAAATTTTTACTTAATATTTTATTTATAATATCCTGCATGTTAGATATGCATGTTAAAAAATCTAGGCTAGGGCTGGAAAGCCAACGACGATTGGCAAATTCTCTTCTTCTAATAAAATCATTTTCAATTACGCTATAGAGATTACCCTTACAAACTTCGCAGGACCTAAATACTTTTTTTTTTTTTAAATATCCCGAAACATATTGTAGGGGTCCCATTATTTGGGGCTGACTTTTTTCCTCTAAAGGTGTAAGGGTAATCTCATTCACAATATCTAAAGATATGTCACCAGTCGTCGCAGCTTCTCCATTCTTTGTAACAATGAGGGCATGCAGTGCATTGCATTGGTCTTCTTCACAATTTGCTCCAGGGGCATGGACACTGGACAGGCTATTGATCAATAAGGGTATTACCGCTGATTCAAATCTTTCTGGCGTTGGATTTGTGTTACGGCACCCATGGCTTCTTATGGCCCCAAAGAAGTTCTCGATTGGGTCTTGGTTTAGGTGCCGCATCCATAAGACGTAATGTTGTGATCAATAGCTAATATTTTAACTAATGTTTCTATCCCTTCCAGTGTCCATACCCAATTATTAATAGTAGGTACACTTGCAATTGTGTTTTTTTCTGTGATAAATTTCATGGATTTTAAAACTTTTTTTGATTCCGTCCAAAATTCATGGTGTTTTGAATTAGGTGTTACGGGTCCCAGGAGATGTTTTGAAAACCTGTTTTTTGTAAAGCTGCCATTGACAGAATCGAAAAGATTTCAAAGAAAAGCAGGACATCTGCAGTCTACTTGCATTCCGCTGGGAGGATTCCCTTATCTGTAAAACATTAATAATTCAATGTTAGATTATGTTAGATTAAGATTTCTGTACACATAATATACACTTTATATGTATGAAATTGTACATGTAGCTATGCTTTGGAATACACGCTTGCATAGATGGTGTTCCAATTTACATTTTAAATTACTGAGTAAATGAAGTCAGGTGATTCTAATACATATTATGAATAATTTTGTATTAGAATTGAATTATTTAAAATCCATGGTGACAAAAATACGTACAGAAAATTATCATTTAGATTTAGATCCTTCTACAATTGATCATTATGATATGAGTAAGCCATATCATTTGAAGACAACATAATATTGCTAAGCTATATAGCTGATACTTAACACAAAAACATCACATTCCTGATCTTACCTGCAAGGTATCCCATAGTGGAAGACACAGTTCTACTGAACACTTGGCTGGCAAATTTCACTTTCATTTTTGTTCTTGTTGGATCAACATGACTGTCAGACAACTTAGGCACTAATCGGATTCCTTTATATGCAGGATTTTCTTCGTGTAATTGTTTAATGTGATCCCGCTTAGCAGTCTTTTCTTTATTGTCAGTTGTATACCGTAAATTCTTCTCTAAAAGATTTTTCAA